CCACACATCCATGTGAAGCGTCTGCAGGGGAGCCTCTGTCGGGGGGAAGTGGGAGGAGTGAGGAGTAGCCCGGAGGCGACCCTCGACACAGGGGACACAGGAAGGTCCTGGCCCGGAGGGGAGAGGAGGGAGAGACTGGGGAAGACCAGAGACAAGGACACGGGAAGCCATGCTCCGAAGACGGGGCAAGGAGGGGTGGCCAAGACGGTGGTGCCATAGGAGAGTCTCGTGAGACAGGAGGCGACAAGAACAGGGGGCAGACTCAGGACCTGACCGGGACGCAGCAGCAAGCACCTGACCCGACGCAGCCACCTGACCAGACGCAGGGACAGGAGGAGACTCAACGGTCAGGGTGTAGAGACTCGACCCCGGCCGACGCGAGAACGTGGCCAGGTGTCGGCCTGTGCGTGCCTCCGTGCAGTGGGTCACCCGCTGACTCGCAGGAGTGAACTGGTGAACCCCCACATCCTGCAGGTCCGCTCCACTCACCAAGTTCGTAGAGAACGAGGGAAGGTACAGACCCGACAGGGTGCCCGAAGGGGCAGCCGGACACGGGAGGACAGTGGAGAAGTGAGACAGGATAGGACCCCCAGAGGGGTCAGCAAGGGAGACCGCAACCGGCCGGCCGAGCGGCGTAAGGGTAGTGCGGTCTCGAAAGAAGGAGCGAGAAGCTCCGGAGTCATGTGTGAAAGTGAGGGAGGACGAGGACGACGTAGTACCTGAGAGCGCAGTCTCACCAGTACCTGAGAGCACAGACGCACTGGCACCTAGAGCAGCAGCCTCACAAGCACCTAGCGCAGCAGTACCAATGCCCGGGTCGGGCTGGAAACAACGGTAACCCTCATTCTCCTCACTATAATCCACAACATACATAGCAGCAAGGATAGCATCAAAATCAAGATCAAAGATCGCTACACCAGCCCTGAGAAGCTCATCCCAGCGAGGGATCTCACTAGCCCCAGGGAACTGCTGACGCCAAGCGTCCGTCAGGCGGCCAAAGCAGCGCTGGGTGGCGTGGGCACCCCCACACTGCTCACCCGCGCGGTCGCCGGAACGAAGAACGTAGGTGCAGGGACCAGTACCCCCACCCCTCTGACGCCCAGCGTACCACTCACGAAGCTGCTGAGGCGGAGGGATGTCCCGCGAGCGCTGCTGCTGCTGCCGCTGCGAGCGCTGGCCACCACCACCGCCGCTACGCTGCTGGTTACCACCTCGACCAGCTCCACCTCCTCCACCACCACCGCCTCCTCCGCTGCCGCCTCCACCGCCTCCACCTCCGCCGCCTCCACCACCGGCGCTGCCTCCACCACCACCGCTGGCACCACCACCACCGTCTCCGCCACTGCTGCCACCTCCACCACCACCTCCGCCACTAGTCCCGCCGCCACCCCCACTCCCTCCGCCGCCACCGCCGCCACCGCCACCGCCCCCTCCAGCTCCACCCGCGCCCTTGCCCCCCTTGCCCTTGCTGGAGCGACGTCTCCCACTAGGGGCAGACGCCGCGCCGACCGACTCAAGACCAAGCAGGTCGGCAGCAGCAGCAGAGGCAACAGAGGGCAGCAAGGGGGAAGGAGAGCACCCCTCAAAGATGGGGGTGCGAGGGTCACCACGAGAAGCACCTACAGCGACTATGCTCTTCTCCGCTGCGAGGAGGGCCTTCTCGAGGAGGTCGACGGTGAGGGTGGTGGGACAGACTGCGAGAAAGTGGTCCCTGACGACGCGAAGGGAGTCAGGGAGGCGCGCGACTACGTAGTAGAGAGCGATGTACATGGGGGGGGGGGTTCTTAGCGCAGAACTCAGCAGGAAGGGCGGCGCGGTAGCGAGTGTCACTAGTGCGGAGGTGCGTAATGAGGTCAGCGACAGTGGGAAAGGCAGAGAGGTCAGGAAAGAGGTAGGGAAGCATGAGACGGCTCAGTGCAGCAGTGGAAGGGGAGGAGTAGCGCGCAACTACAGCGTCGTACAAGGTCTGAGCACTCTTGTACTGACTAAAGTGCGCGCGCTCAGAGGTAGGGAGGTGGCGACGCACAGCAAGACGTGCAGCAGCATCGCGGGTGGCCCACTTAGAGCGGACAGCGGGATCAGCATCAGCAGCAGGAGCAGGAGAGGCGCCAGAGGTGAGGTCAAAGAGAGAAAGGTCGTCAGCCCTGTCGCACTGTAAGAACAGCTGCAGGTCGTCTAACCAGACCTCAAAATCAATGGCGCGACCCTCAGCGTCAAAAGCTAGGACACTAGGGGTAGCCATGGCGACGACAGCGACGCAGTGCAAGCAGTAGGGAAAGAGCTCGCAGTGTCAGTGGGACTGTGCTCACCAGGCAGGGCAGGTCGTGCAGCTATGCAGAAAGGCGGCTCAGCGACCGGGCGGCTCGGGTGCACAGCGGCTCGGCGGCTGGGCGGCTCGGGCGCAGGGCGGCTCGGCTCCCGGGCGGCTCGGCGGCTGGGCGGCTCGGGTGCAGGGCGGCTCGGCTCCCGGGCGGCTCGGCGGCAGGGCGGCTCGGGTCCCGGGCGGCCCGGCGTTGGGCGGCTCGGCTCCCGGGCGGTTCGGCTGCTAGGGCGGCTCGGCCGGGAGATGCAGGGGCGGGGTCGTCAGGTGCAGCGGCGGGTCGACCGGTGCAGTGGCGGGCCGGCAGGTGCAGCGGCGGGCCGGAAGGTGCAGCGGCGGGCCGGCAGGTGCAGCGGCGGGGCCGTCAGAGGCGGCGGGCCGCTGGGTGCAGCGGCGGGCCGGCAGGTGCAGCGGCGGGCCGGCAGGAGCAGCGGCGGGCCGGCAGGAGCAGCGGCGGGGCCGTCAGGTGAGGCGGCGGGCCGGCAGGAGCAGCGGCGGGCCGTAAGGTGCAGCGGCGGGGCCGTCAGAGGCGGCGGGCCGTAGGGTGCAGCGGCGGGGCCGTCAGAGGCGGCGGCGGGGCCGCGGTAGTAGAGGCGGGGCCGCGTCAGGGGAGGCGGCGGGGCCGCGTTAGGGGAGGCGGCGGGGCCGCGTCAGGGGAGGCGGCGGGGCCGCGTCAGGGGAGGCGGCGGGGCCGCGTCAGGGGAGGCGGTGGGGCCGCGTCAAGCAGGCGGCGGGGCCGCGATCAGGAGAGGTGGCGGGGCCGCGTCTGAGGGACAGCGGGGCCGCGAGGGAAAAGGCGACCCGAGGGGTCGCTAAAAAAAAGGGCGCGCCTCGGGGCGCGCTTCGGTGGGCCCTAAAAAAACGGTCCTAAGGCAGGACCCGCTCTATACCATGTGAAGCAAGGAAAACAGGAATGAAATGACTAAGTCAGAGTTGGGTACAAATACAACCCTAGAAAGCTGTACCCCATATGTGCTACCCCACTATAGCCTACAAACATGCATCAGTTATAATAATCCGACAAGTAGCACCATCTTCAGCATCGCCATCAGCATCATTGTCAGCAGCAGCAGCAGGAGGATCTTTTGCACTAGCTCCCACCACTGGAAATGCTGCTGCTGCGAGCCTGCCATGCGTGCCTCCCTCTGCTCCTCGCCCCTCACCCATCCTAACGGGGCTTCGCCAACTTCGCGCGCACTGTTTCACCAAACCATGCACCGCTGGCCTGGTCGAGTCGGCCTACGCTTCGGGGCTAGCCCGAACCTCGATGCAAAGCTAGTATTAGTTCGTTCGCACGTACCGCGTAAGGGCGTAGAACATTTGGGAAAGTTTACGAATGAACCGTACAGCCTGAACGGTGGAAATTGGGTCAATTTGTCTAACACGTTCTTCAAGTAGGTCTCAATACGTTTCAGAGCGGTAATTTTCCGAACTGTACGTTCGTTCGGAAAAAAATCCCAAATGTTTCACGCTCTGACCATTGCATGTTTTCGCATATCCTCGCTATCTCGTTCCATTGCACCCATAACAGCTCCACAACATGGGAAGCTCTCATGCTTGGATTATTTAAATAATATGTTCTGGTATACTTGGCTTTCGTGCCTCAGTAGCACAGTGGTAGTGCGTTCGCTTCGTAAGCGAAAGGTCCTGAGTTCAATCCTCAGCTGGGGCAGTTACATTTCTATTGTTTTTTTTACTCTCGTCTCCATAACGCCTCTTCCATGTTGATCAGAAATCAAGACAATCGCTTTCGTTCTGGGTGCACATTCAAAAACATCTACTCTGAATCAGTCACAAGTGCTTCCTGTCTCTTGTTCTTGAGCCTAGTGATTGATACCAGGGACCTGGTCGGTAGAGGTAGCGTAGGGTGTTCCGCACATAATGTTAGTGTCTTGAGTAGGGTTAGAGTGGTAGGTTTGTACGGACGGACTGGAATATATATACTAAAACAGAGTTTAATCTAAGCAAAATAGTTCGGTCGTTCGTAATGTATTTCCTCGTACGTAGTTCTGACACAAGGTGTTACGTCACGCGGTAGGTAGGCTCCTCTGTAAACGTCTGGCACGAGGGGTAGTAGCTACACGTATAGGTTCGTCGCTCTTCGTTACACTGTTCTGGCATGACCAGAATCTCGAATAGAATGGACCCTTTTCGACACCCTGACGCTGGATTTGACGCTTACCGACACCCTCAGGCTGAGAACGGGAACAATTCACCAGTTTCAGAGCAGGAGATACGAGCTATGCGGATCAGCGAGCTAAAGGATTTCCTCCTTTCACGCGGCGTGTCTCTCTCTCCTCGCGATCACCACCGTCAATATTACCTTCAGATCGCTCTAGATTGGCTAAGGACGAATCGGGGCGAACGAGATGCGGGTTACGATCGGACGGCTGGCAATGGGCCTCCGAGACAAGATCCGACGGCTCGGGGTTCATCTGTTGCTGTCGGCGAATCAGAGAGATGGTTTCAGGAGGAGCAGCAGCGGCAGCAGAGGCAACAAATCGAGCAACAGCAAGAGCAGCACCAGTACCAGCAGCAACGACAGCAGCAGGAGCAGCAGCGGAGATACGCGCGGGAGCAGGAGCTGAGATCCATGAGCACGGCTCAGCTGAAACAGTGGCTTCTCGATCAAGGCGTGGGTCTCTCCCCTCGAGAGCACAAACGCGCCTACTACCTCCGGATGGCTCTTCCGCTGCTCGCTTCCCCCGGTGCTCCTCTCTCCTTCGCGTCTCCGCAGCTTGGTTCACTGAATACGCTCTTCTCGCCTCCCATGGGCTCGCCTGACACGCGCGCGCCACTGAACACGCCCTTCACGCCTCCCACGGGATCGGTATATGATGATGCGTTAACTTCTGCTCGTTCTGGCGAGCCTCTGTCCGCGGTGGATCAGCAGCAGCGGCGTGGGAAGCTGCAGGAGGGGGGGAAGTCGACCCCTTCGACAGCCGGGAGCGCATGTGCTACCGCAGGGCATAAGAGAGCTGTTGAAGCAGCAGCAGGAGCAACGGTAGGAGCTAAACGAGGAGCTACGGTGGTGCCAACGCCTGGCAAAACAGCTGCTGAATCCTGGGAAACACCTGAGGAAACACCTGAGGAAACACCTGAGGGATGGGGAGCGAAGAGGGTCCAGGAGGAGAACAGGAGCAAAAGATGGTGGTGGTGGTGGTGGTGGGGCAGCTCTTTGATGCAGGGACGGCCGGAGAGGGAGGACGAAGCAGGCCCTGATGTGTATGGTAAAAAGGAGCACATGTTCCAGTCCGGGGAACAGCAGCAAGAGCAGCAACCGCAGCAGGGAAACCGTCAGCACCAATGGCGTGTGCAGCAGCAGCAGCACCACCAACAGAAAGAGGAGGAGTCAGATACCATCTCCTTCTTCTCTGCTCTCGATTTCCCCCATATCCCTCCTCATGGACTCACCAGAGGTCTCAATCCCGACACAGAGCAGCACAGGCGTCATGTGCGTGGATCAGCATGGGCAGGGAGTAATGGAGGAAATGACGATGGTGGAGAGGCAAGTGCAGGTGTGGGTGCTGCAGGTGGAGATGGTGGAGATGGGAATCTGGAGACGCGCGATGGTACCTGGGGGTGGTTCTGGGGTAGGACGCAAGGGGGTAGAGTGGTAGGCGGGGTCTCCGCGAGTGTGTTTTTCCCCTGGCTCCTGCTTTCCTCATTCCTTTCCTTCTTACTGTCGTTCCTCCTTGCCGTGTTCCGGCGATTGAAAGGCTTGGCAATCCGCCGTGCGTCGTCGACTGGAGGAACCCCTTCCACTCGCACAACTAGAACATCAGCATCAACATCAACATCAGCAGCAGCAGGAGCAGGAGCATCATCATCGTCAGTAGCACCATCTTCAGCATCGCCATCAGCATCATTGTCAGCAGCAGCAGCAGGAGGTTCTTTTGCACCAGCTCCCACCACTGGAAATGCTGCTGCTGCGAGCCTGCCAGGCGTGCCTCCCTCTGCTCCTCGCCCCTCACCCATCCTACCACGCCAGCTGCTCTTCCCCACGTCTCACCGTGCCGTCCCTCCAGTGTCATCGCCTCGCCTGTCGGCCTCAAGCAGGCAGAAGAAAGAGAGCAGGCCTGCAAGGAACAGGAAGCAGGGGCGTGCTGCATGGTCCTGGTCGGTGCACATGGTGCTGCTGCAGGCAGTGCAGCTGGTGGCCATGGTGGGCGTGGCAGCAGGCGTGTACTCCTCTGCGTGGACGCTCATTCAGTCCCTGGATCACCGCTTGCTTCCCTTCTGTGACACCCATGGCAACAGCCATTCAAAATCCACCTCTGGGGAGCCTGATTCGCTGTCATCGTCGGTATTGCCACAGCAGCACGAGCCTCTTTTTCTCTCCACGGTCGCACATGCACCCGCCATGTCTCCTTCTCGTCACTCCCCTCTGTACTCTCTCTCTCAGTCCTCTCCTCCCCCTGCGGCCTCTGCTGTTCGCTGCCGGCCGTGCCCAGACCACGCTGAATGCTCCATTGGAGTAGCTAAGTGCCTTCCCAGCTACAGCCCTGCTTCAGGCTACAACCGTCCCCGCTACAGCCGTGCTTCAGACCGCAGCCGATTGGGCGCCAGTTACAGACAAACCAGCAGTAGTAGCAGCAGCAGTGGCAGTGGCAGTGGCAGTGGCAGTGGCAGTAGCAGTACCACCAGGGGGCTAGAGGACAGTAACAGTGGCGGGAAGATCACCTGGTGGTATGCCCTTGTCTCGTCCTCCCCTGCGTGCGTTCCTGACCCAATTGTGGACCGACAAGTGGCAGCTCTGGAGAGGGACGTGGTTGGCTGGGCGTGTCAGAAACGTGCGTGGCAGATGTGTGCGGATGCACCTGCCAGCCTGGCAGATGGGATCAGGAAGGCTACACAATCTGTAATCCAGATGATTCTGCACAGTATAGGAACTGTTTACAGAGATGCGGGTGGTGGGAGTTGCAGTGCTGGGGGTGATGGGAAGGCGTGCCGGTGGGTGAATACGGAAGGAGACGCCTTTGCAGGAAGGAGTGGGAGTGGGTATGTGAGTGAGTGGGAGGTGAGAGAGGCTCTTGATCTTCCCATGGCCCCTGCCTCTGCCTTTCCTCTTCAGTCTTCCGCCCAAGGCAGTGCATCATCCGCCGTTCCTGTGCCTCCGCTGGCAGAAGCAGCATTGTCACCAGCAAGTTTGATACTGGATGGTTGGCAACAGGAGCAGCTGGAACAGCAGCAACAGCAGCAGCAGGAGGGGGGATCACGGGAGGCAGAGTCAGGTTCGAGCAAGCATGAGACGGATTTTCTCGTTGCACTGGTTGCTGATAGGGCGTTTGCCAGAGTTCAGTCGGGTGAGACTCTGCTCCGTCCGGGCAGGAGGGAGAAAACTTTTACCTGCCCGGATGACCTGGCACAAGAGCTGGTGTCCAACAGCTGCTGGGCATGGTATGTGGTGGCTTCTCATTGGTTGGACCTTCTTCTGGCCCTGCCCTGTGGGATTCTGTTTGCTGTTGCTGGCTTGATGATAAAGAGGCGGAGAGAGTGGGAAGAGGTGGTCAGAACAACATACACTCATGTCTGTGTGCTGCTACAGCAAGCTGCACAAGATGCCGAGTCCTGCCGGATGCAGACGGGATACGCCCGCCAGTCCTGGGTTATGGAAGAGGCGCTTCGAGTGCACCTGTTTCCACCTCAAGTTGGAGTCCACACATCCTCTGATTCACTATCTACAGTACTTGGTACTGTAATTGCTACAGTGCAAGTTGCGATTAAACAGCGGAGTGAAAAGAGGCGCCAGCACGCGGTGGAGAGGCTGTGGAGGGAGGTTCGGCAGTGGGTTGAAGGCGATTACAGAATCCTGGTCTATCCACGAATCGTGGCGGATGCAACGAAGGTTGTGTGGGAGTGGCAGGGTAAGCTATCTGTGGGACGCGAGGGTTGGCGTAAGGGATTTGTGGCGTTGAAATTGCAGGGTGAGGAATCGGTCATGTGGAGTGGCTGTGCCAGTGCGTGTAAGTTATTCTGCCTGCTCCAATTCTGCTGGTGATCCTCCCTCCCCCCTCTTCCTCCCTCTCCCCTCTTCCCTTTTCTTTGGTCTGTCTCAAGGAATGTTGGTGGATTTTCTTGGTGTTTGGTATATGGGCAAGGCTGAATTCTTTTCTTCTTTTTACCGTACATGTTTTTCTGGTCACTCATGGCATGCACACTTACTATCCCTCTCTCACACTTATTCGATTTTCAATTGGCAGTTGATGCAAGAATGTCAACGCCCTCAGCGAAGCTTTCATAGTGCTGGTAGAACATGTACAGGCTGTTGTATGTTAGATTCACACGTATTAGGATCAGTCACCCGGTGGTTGATGTAAGTTGTCTGGATAACATTGTTGTGTAAGGGAAGTTTATGATAGCAGTTTTTAGAATGCTGAGTTTTAATCATCGGATAACCTGCTGAGTTATATTATCGAGTAACATGCTGAGTTATACCGTCATCACCCGGATATACCCCCAGGCCTATGTTACACCCATGCGGTTATAATCGTACTAGTGGGCTTATAGCCGGTTGCCGATTATAAGCCCACCCCAAGTTGTGTCAATCTTCGTATAAGCGCACCCAATGAATTCTGGTGTTTTTTTGTAGCGAAATCACCACTAACGCGCCTAAACGAATCGTCACAGACGTGCCTGACGAAATCCCCCCTGGCTCGCTTGGCAAAATTGCCACAGGAGGTGCACGTGCGCGAAATCTGCAACATTTGAGCAGGTGCTGACTCGGATTCTTGACTGTACGACACATTCTCGGAACTTTTCAGCAGCGATCCTCTTTGTGTAAGCATCGATTTAAATCGCCAGGGTGAAATCTGCATTCCAGTGTTATAAAATCAAAATTCCATAAGTGTCATTTATTTAGCCCATGGGGTTATAAAATTTACCACATTATAAGCCCACCCACCATTTTTCCAGGTTTTTTTACACCCCCACCTGGGGGTATATCCGGGTGATGACGGTAATTGTCGAGTCAATGAAAAATGATTGTGCTGCGGTGTACTCTGCCTTGACCCAACTGTCATATGAGAGGTGGTTGGTGACGTGATGTGAAGCGGAATCCCTGGAGTCATCGTTTCGTCTCGTCAGCCGAGCGACGGCCAGCGCAGCACGAACCTACTTTATCGGTTCGACCAAACAAATCAAGTCGAGGCCAGAGTATGGTGAAGAGAGCAAGGGGAGCGGAGGTGCGGAAAAGGGCGGGGAGAATCAGAACTCGGGATCGCGGTTTACGTATGGCAGGCTCCTTCGCTTCTGCTGAGGCAGCAAGGACGGGGTGGAGTTTGATTCTGCAGGTCAGGAAGGAAGGACCATGTGGCTGGCTGCCTCTGCCCATCTAGGGTTTGATTCAGCAGGATTTCTTGCCTTCACATCAGCCAAGCTCCGTCCCTGACCAGGCAAAAAATGTCACTTCCGTTTCGCAGGCCCTGCAGTTCCGTTCCGTTCCCATCCCAGCCTTGTGCAATCTCAGATTCCCCATAAGACGCCATGAGCAAACCATAAGGCATATCAATTGTTGGGTCGTCTTGCTTTGGTATGTGTTTCATGTGTTTCGTTCACTAGTAGTAGTAATAGTCCCCGTTTTCTTATCACTAGTAGTTTCGGAGTGTTATTCCTTTCAATGACTCATTGAGTCATGAGTCATGATGCGGTCATTACGAGCACCACCCAAGTAATATAGCTCGTGCATTTGTGGGTTGACTGGTGGTTGGTGATAGATTGCGCTTAGCAGCATCACCAACTTTTCAGTCTCCTTTGCCTTCTATCAGTGCTACCATCACAACCTCACAGAGCTTTGTTTATTTGTTTACAAATAATCCACGTCACTCCTTTTACTGGCAACTTCTAACGGCAAAGGTAACTGCGTACTACATTTAAGAAAATCGGGTTCCTAAGCTGTTGCGTCCCAGTACTCATTCGCCATGGTTTCGCAGGATATATGTCCCCCTGACATGAGAATCTCCTTATGAAGTCCAGAAGTGCTGAAGCAGATACCTTGTTTTATGTTCATCTCCAATGGACGACCCCAAGGCTGACCATATTTGGGATCCCCTAAGAGGCTACCAGGTTACCTGAACCTCACCTAAAAGTGACTTTGAGATCACATGCAGCCTGAAGTCCACGTTCATCAGCAACTATTGCTGTCATGGATTTCTCCCCCAGTCACGCATCATCACCAGATCTAAACAAGAGACACATTTGGGATCGGTTCCCAGGCTTCATAATAAAAACAGACGTATGTCCAAAATGTTTAGGAGTTAATTTCATCATTTCAAATGGAGAACGTGAGTCACAATCTTCTGACATAAAGTATGCGGTATATGGAGAAAGCCTCTCTGATTATCAATCTCAGGTTTGACAATCACAAATCTGAGACTGCTCAAGGGCCTGGCAGGCACATAACTTCATAATTGCAGGTCCAATTTGGCATCAGATAATGTAATGGCTGATTGAAGCATTCTCCGTCTTTCTTCTGGCTCACAGCTTCCATCAGGTTCCCTTTGACAGGCTCTCCATGCACCTACTACTAGTACATTGCCAGGTAAAACAACAGAGCTCAACACAGTGAGCACACATAACCACCACTCTGTTGCTACAACACAATGTGCAAGTTACCATAATAACCCCTGCACTTACGCTATAACCTATCGTGCGTCATGCACAGGCATGAAGCTATTGAACGAGAGAGGTGGCAAATTGGTGGCAACCTCCGCAGGACAAGGTGCGGCAAGATCCTCTTGCGCTGAAATCCACTCAATATCCGCCTTGTCAAACTTCCTCGACTCAAGGCGTCCATCTTTGAGCACACCTAAAGGTGTTTTTGGGGAAGGCATGCCTGTGGCATCCACTGGGCCCTCACTGACCTGCCTTTTAATTGCACGATGAAATGGATCCAGATGCTCACCCTTGATCCCCGCCTCTCCCAACCACCAATCCTTCTGCAGTCCGTCCTCTGCCTTCACATGGTCTCCATGTTTTCCCAGAATGCACGGAGCCCCATTCGGCAACTCTTCCACCCTCTCTGGCGCCTCCCCTGGTGTGGCCGGCAACACAAGAGGCGAACTCTGTACGCGAAGAAACAGCGGAGCGTCTGGATGCAGAAAGGGTGTCGCTGGACCCAATGCTGCTGCGCAATTTACTAAAGAACGTGACGATTTTAAAGAGGATGGTGGCTGCTGCACTGCAAGGGGGTTGAGAGGAGACGGCATTGTTTGGCTACGGAAGTATCGAGCTCTCCAAGCCTCAAAAGCGTGCCAGCCGTTAAACGGAGACGACCGCTGCAACGCTTCACCTTCAACATCTGCTGCCTGTTCTCCTCCCAGAGGCTCCTGCTGCAGCACTTCAGCAGCGCCTTCTGCTTTTCTTATCCACGCATCCCTGCATTCCTGCATGGTAACTATTGGCGGCTTCAAAGGAGTAAGCCCTTGCTCCTGCAGTGCTGCCACTGGCCCGAGCGTTGACTGGGAAGCCTCTTCCCACTGTGATGCGCCAGCACCAGCTTCTGCAGCTCTCCTCCCGTCCGTGAAGTGTATGACCGCACCATCCTTTTCTGCTAAATAATTTCCTCCACCAGCCAGACAGCTGCTCGCACCAGCACCAATAACCCCCCCTATATCCCCGCCTCCTCTTCCCTCTCCTCCCATGATAAAACCTCTCGTTCTCACTCCTGGCGTAGCGGCTCCACTGTCACTCCCAGCTGCACGGCGGCTCGTAACACCCTTTTTTGCTTCACCCATTCGCCTGTCAGTGCGTTGCTGCACAGTTCCTCTAATCAAATCTACACACACATCCTTCCAACCGATTGTTTGCTTCCCAACACCAGCACCAGCGTCCACACAGCCGTCTAATCCTGAACGCTTCTCCAGATTCTTGATATCTTGAGCACTAACTGGACCGTGTCTTGATGAAAGCCCGTTGGTTGATAAACTTAGAGAGAGGAGTGGACCGACATCCTCTCTCCTTCTATCAAGCAACCCTCCAAGAGTGCATACACCCCTTAGTTCCTCAAAACTGTCCTTCCGGCAGACAACCATCCTCCCCTCTGGCCATGCATTATCCTCACTTCCCCGCAACACATCATCCCCACTCTCCTGCTTTCTCTTTTTGCTGGCCATGCTCAGCTCCCGATGCCCCTCACAGCCTTTCTGGGCCTCCCACACATGCGTCCTATCTCTAGGTTTACATTCTTTAATTTCCGCTTCAAGATCCACTGGAGCAGCCCCACTCGCCGAAGCAATCCTACCTGCCTGCACTACCCTCGCCTCCTCTCGTTCATTTTCACAAACCAAGCTCTCAACCTTGACCTCCCTGCCACTGCTGCCACCGTTGCCACCGTTGCCATTCCGTAAGCCCTCACGTTTCTCCCTGCCTTTCTCCCAAGTCAGCTGGCAGGAATGGTCAACATGAGTCCGGGTTGCAAAAAAACTCTTCCTGTGACCAGCTGCATCAACTGAAGCATTCGAGATTGTTTCAGACGGCCTCGTGAATGAATTCTCAGCTGCACTACCAGAGACAGCCCCCAAACACTCCCACACATTCCCACCGCTCCTCACGTTTTTCCTACGTTCCTTGCCTCCTACCAGAACTACATGGAAAGACTCCTCAGCATCTGCTTCAAGATCAACTCTGTAACCAGCTGGATCAACTGCAGATTTAAAGGGGTTTTCAACAGCCTCTCTAACTCCCACCCCGTCCCAACCATTCCCACCAGTGCTCGCCTCCTCCTGAGTCTCCCTGCCTTTCCCCAAGCTCAGCTGAAAAGGCCTCTCAACTTTCAAACTTCTTGGAAGACTTGGACTGTGCTTGGCTGAACAAACTGCGACACCCGGGGTTTCAAGTAGTAGACTCTTTAGTGAATGTTCTGCTGGATTGCCATCCGCACCTGTAGCTGTCGCTGCTGCGTTGACCACAAACTTTGCTGTATTAGCTGCAGACTTAGCAGCTGCCCCAGCAACTGCATCAGCGGCTGCCTTAGCTGCAGAGGTAACTGCTGTCCCAGCCACTGCATGTTCTGTGGCATCAGCTGCTGTCCTAGCTGCTGCTGTAGCTGCTGCAACAGCTGCGCCAGTTGATGGTGCTGTGTGTTCTGTCCAAGCACAAGCCACGATTTCCTTTGCAGGCGTGAAAGAAAGCCCCAAGGCGAGGTCTCCCTGCTGCCACCCAGACCAGGAGCTCAAAGCCATGCCACACCGAGGCAATCGAGGCACAGCACCATTCTCACTCCCAGAAGACGTCAACGTCACAGCTGCTGCCGCAGCAGCCTCGTCCGATGCCTGCACTTCATCTCTCACAATTTCTGCTGGCCCAAAACGTGATGCCTGCACTGCATCTCTCACAACTTCTGCAGGCCCACAACGCGATGCCTGAACCGCATCTCTCACGGTCCCTGCAGCCCCACCACACGATGCGTGCAGCAGAAGCTTGTGTTGTGGAGGTTCAGACAAAGAAGCCTGACGAGATACTGGTAGTGCTCCTTGGGAATACGCCGCAGCACACGCCCCCTGGTGTGCCCCCTGCTGCGTCCCCTGCTGCTCCCCTTGCTGCTCCGTCCCTTTCTGCCTCCCGTGCAGCGTCCCCTTCTGTGCCCCGTCGCACGATCCATGCTGCAATCTGGCACACGCTGCCCGCTGTTTCGTCTCTTGTAGCATCTCCTGCTGCGACTCCTGTTTCGACACCTGCTGTGATCCATGCAGCGTTTCCTGCAGCGCCTCCTGCAGCGTCCCTTGCAGCGTTTCCCGTTTTGTCTCCTGCTGTGATCCCTGCAGTGTCTCCTGAAGCGACCCCTGCAGCTGGACGCGCCGTCTGCGGCGGTGGATGGCGGGAGGGGGGTGGTTGTGCGTAGCCTCGTATGTGACCTTGGTGCTGTGAGCAATCGAGGAGAACTGCTGGTGAGCGTCAAAGTCAATGTGCTTGCGCGCTGGGCAGGGAGGCAAGTCGGCGTGGCTGTAGCAGGGAAGGCTGGATATGCAGCGGTAGTATGCCCTGGGGCGGAGGAGAGGGGGCAGAGGGCGGTGGGGGTAAAGGGAACGGGGGTGGAAAGCATTTCTGAGCGTGAAATACTTGCACACGGGGCAGGGAGGTGACTAGGAGAGGCTGTAGCAGGGAAGGCTGGATATGCAGTGGTATGCCCTGGGGCGGAGGAGAGAGGGAGAGATGGAGGTAAACGGAACGGGAGGGAATTCAGGCACAGATGGAAAGGGCAAGGAGGGAAGAAGCACAGATTGGTGGGAAGCATTACTGAGCCTGAATTACTTGCAAACCGGGTAGGGATGCGAGGTAACGCTGGATATGCAGCGATAGTATGCTCTGGGGTGGAGGGCGGCGGGAGGAGGGAGGGGGGGGGGGGGGGGGGGGGTGGAGGGGGGCTGGGTAAAGGGAACGAGGCTGAGAAGCATTTCTGAGCCTGAAGTACTTGTAGATTGGGTCGGAGGCAACTAGGAGCGGTTGTAGCAGGAGTGCTGGATTTCAGCAATATGTTCTGCAGGAAGGAGGAGAGTGGGGGGCTGGAAGGGGAGGGTTAGGGGGAAGAAATATTTGCGTTGTGGATGGAGGTAAGGGCACGAGGGAACACGGGGGATGGGGAGGATATTTTAGCCTGGTATACTTGCTTTCGGCCTCCTTCGTCATATTTGTAGAAAAGAAACAAGTGTTGGGAAGAGACAAGAAAGGTTGAAGCAGAGGGGTGTGACTGATAACCGAGAGATAGAAAGGTTGAAGAGATTGAGAGGGGAGGAGATAGACGGAGGGAGGGATGCAGGGATGGATGGGGGGAGGAGGTGATGGGGAGGGAGGGAGGGAGGGATTGAGGGAGGGAGGGAGGGATTCAAGGATGGAGGGAGGATTGAGGAAGGAATTGAGGGTTTGAGGGAGGGATTGAGGGATTGGGGGATTGAGGGAATGAAGGGGGGGGAGCGAGGAGAGGGGGATGGAGGGTGCGAGGAAGAGAGGGAGGGGGGGGAGGGAGGTAGGTAGATAGCTAGGTAAGTAAATAAGTGAGAGGCAGGGAGATTGGCAGGGAGGGAGGGAGAGGAGCACGGGGTCAGGTAGGAGGCAGGGAGGGAAGGAGGAGGGACGGAAGGAAGGAAGCACCTAGGAAAAGCAGGGAGGTAGGGAAGTAAGCAGGAAGGAAGAGAGGTAAGCAGGGAGGGAAGGAGGGAAGTAGGGATGTAGGGAGGGAAGCAGGGAAAAGAAGGAAGGAAGGGAAGCAGGGAAACGAAGGGAGGGAGGGAAGCAGGGAAAGGAAGGGAGGGAGCGAAGGAGGGAGGGAGGGAGGGAGGGAGGGAGGGAGGGAGGGAGGGAGGGAGGGAGGGAGGGAGGGAGGGAGGGAGGGAGGGAGGGAGGGAGGGAGGGAGGGAGGAAGAAGGACCCTTTGCGCGAGAGAGGGAAGAAGGTAGAGTCGGAGAGTGGGAGAATGGGAGAGTGGGAAGAGAGAGAAGACAAATGCATGAAAATATAAGATTGAGATGCGCGCTCTAGACAGAAACGAAGACAATCAACGAATATATGATAGAGATACTTTGGATTGCTGAGATTTCAATAATAAGACTAGATATGTGGCTGCTTGAGTCGACATTGATTTTTATATATATATGTAAATATATAAATTAAAGGAGGAAAAAGGGAAGAGGGAGGGGAGAGGGAGGGGAGGGAAAGTTGGAGGGGAAGGAGGAGGGGAAGAGGGAGGGGAAGGAGGAGGGAAAGAGGGAGGGGAAGAGGGGGAGGAGGGTGGAAAGAGGGAGGAGGAAGGCGGGGAGTTGGGGAGGGAGGGAGTGGAATAGGGAGGGGGGGCGGGAAAGGGGAAGGAGGAAGAGGGAGTGAAGAGGAGGGGGAGAGGAAGAGGGACGGGAGAGAGAGAGGGGAAGAGGGAAGGGGGGAGGGAGGAGGAGGGGAGCGGGGAAGAGGGAGGAAAGGGGGAGGGACGAGGGAGTGGGGGAGGGAGGAGGAGGCGAGGGGGGAGAGGGAGGAGGAGGGAGGGGGGAGGAGGGTTTGTGGGAGTGAAAGGGGGAGAAGTCGAAGGGTGGAGGAGGGGAGGGAAAGAGAAAGGAGAGGGAGGTATTGAGCGTGTTCGGATAGGCGGACAGGGAGGGGGAGTGAAAGGGAGACGAATGGAGATATTGTGCCCGAAATAATGGGGAAAGCAGTACCACTCAGCCCTAGGAAAAGTGCGCTTGGGGCACCAGCAGCTAAACTCTTTGTTCAACTGTCCTCTATTTTGACTTTTGGTCCGCTGATGTACCACGAAAAGCGCTGCAAAAGTGCAGTGAACGCTAAAAGAGTTGTTTGGAACGAGAAAAGAGGCGAGAAAGGGGGAGAGAAAGAGGCGAGAAACAGTAGAAAGGTGACGCTCGGCTGGCAACCGACCTTCTGTGTCCCGCACTTTTTAAAAGCTTAGAGCCATACTTCAGCCACTGAAACCCATCAGAATTTGCAAATTTCGAGATGATGTTAAGCTCGAGAGGAAGATCTTTGAACCAGATGTTGTCCGACATGTTACAATCACCAGTGCCGCGGCTTTTTACGATGATGTTGCTGTCCAGATATTTCACACGCGTCACGCACACGGTGCCATGCTTAATAAAGGCAGTCGTGAGAATATATTTTCCAAAAGATGAGAATTCATTATTTGGCCAACATCAAACTCTGTGTGTTAGGAGGCTCCTTTTAAATCGTACTGCTAGTGCGCATCGGTGGAGTGCAAATGGGGTTTGTGTCATCACCAGCTCGCAAAGCCATTTTCTGAACCCAAAACAAGTACTGCTGATAGGGACGAAACAGGTCCAGAGGCATTTGCAGGCTTGTGTTCTAGGTTGAACGAAACCCTCTGGGTGGTGTGAAAAAACGCCTCGTCACTTCATGAGCCATCACAAAGCTGTACGAGTACAGTGTAGAAATTAGTCAGAATATGAACCTAGACTGTTGGCCTTTGTTCTGCCCAACATGGAAATATGGTTGGAAGAATTTTATGAACTCCGGACGCCCTTCGTGCTTTTGCCTCTTAGGTTTCGTTACGGGCAGAGCCACATGATTCCGCAAAAGGAAAAAAAAAATATGTAGGATGCGACATCAGGAAAAGGGCAACATACGGTGTCATAGCGCGTTTCCCTCGTCGCTCCGGGTTGTTGGCTATGTCCCAGAAACACTTGAACTGGAGTCCTGGAGGAACAGCTAGGCCAGCCTTCTGTTGGTGCAGGCGGCTCCTCAATTGGAGTGATGTGATGATTATTTCTGCTGACCAATGCGATGGAAAAGTGGACTCCCACCACCCTCCCACGCAAGATTGCTGCCAGTGCGGGCAACTGAATCGAAGGAACCAGAACTGTGCGCCAAGGTTTGGATGGATCTCCGCCACACAGGTCAGTCCCCTGAATGCACAGCAGGGATGGAGCGGCTGCGAAGGTGGTGGCAGGTTGCAGCCTCCATACAGTGGAGATGCGATTGTGCGATTCTGGAAGACCGATTTCCTAGGTTGAACTCACGGAACACAATCAGTAAAAGAGGTCACTGTTTCAGTTTGACTGAAGATCACCACCAGAGCCTGCCGCTACGACAGATCTCCCTAACAGCATCAACCAGCGCGAAAAATACAGGTTCAAGACAGGAAACATATGCAGACGAGAATAAAAATGACTGTGTGGCACCCGTTCGTCGGTCACGTGAGACTTCTAAGGACCTGGCACGGTTTGCCTCTGATCGGCTGTGATCTGGTCGGGTCTGATCGGATCGGAGTCCCCTCATTACTGTGATCGCGCTGCCCGAACAGAGAAGAAATTCCTCGAATATTCTATGAGGGTGCTTGGCAAGCGTGTCACCCTTTCCAGACACTTCTGCGCCCACTTTGGCGAGGGCGAAGTCCTCAGCCTGGCTTACCGAATTTCAATGTTTCCATGTAATTTCACGTGAAGAGATGCTCAGTAAAGCTGCAGAGGGTGGTTTAGAAAGTTCGCCAGGGTGGTTTGTTTGAGCGAGAGCTTCACGAAACTAAGCACAGCACCGTAACTTGTCGATAGCGTCGTTTAGTACCCCAAACCAATGCAATCAACTGATCGTCGGTGTTTGTGTGGGGTTGTGTTTGATTGGGCTTATTTAGGCGGTTGATCGAGTTGGGGCAATCAACTGATCGCGATCAAGTGATTGCCCCCGACTGCCTGAAATCGCCACCCTAGCTTCCCGGAATTTATTGATCGATCGGGGCAATCAGAGGCGAACCGTGACACGTCGTATTGAACTCTTGCATTTCAGATTGGCAAAACTACGAAACAGATCTATGAACGGCGATGTGGCTCCGCTTGTGTGCCCTCCAAAAGAGCTTGAGAAACGTTTGCACCCAAAAATGGTCAGGTCGGTCGTATTTCACGAAAGTATTTTCCCGTGGACTGTACAGAGCTGTTCTGCTCCTACAGAGTGTACACTCATTGTCGCGAATCTCGTGTCTTACGTGCTGCACTCATTGCGCGTGCTGCTGTGCTGGCTTCGGGCTCAAGAGGCAGCGGTCAGGTGATTCGCGGGGAAGTCCTTGGGGAAATGCAATAAAAATTGGGGTTTGAATGAAAGCTGGCGTGCATAAAGGATCTTCTGGTACACCTGATGCGCGTTATAATCCCCCTTCCTCCCCCTGTGCTCTGGGCTTATAAGCGCACATGTCATTTCGGGCACTTCCTGGCTTTCGCCACGGCCCAGAGGTGCTCCTAAAAGGCAAGGGTTGTTACCCGCTTGTCTTTTCTCTTAACAGTGTGGGGTGGCTTAGTTTGTTGTGCGTTCAAAGGATATGTTACCACAATTTTCACCCATTTGATTAACACCCCATTACATTTCACGTCCCGCAGTGTCACAAACAACACATTCATCCCTCCACCCAATAAAGCTGCTCCACCTGTACCCAACCCAAATACCCACTCGTACTGGCCCATTCTTGCATGAGGTGTACAAGGCGTACACCTCATGCATTGGGGAGGAACCAAATTCCTTCAAGGGGGACAGAATCCCCTCTCACGACGCACGCACAGCCGGGAGGAGGAGGAGATGTGCACTCCTCCTAAATGGTGATGACGGGGCTTCACAACCGCATCCACTCAGCGGCAGCCAAGTAACCTGACATCACGGCGGGAGCCACGGCATCAATGAGCTCCTGCCGGCGAGCAGACTGGGCCACCCAGTCAGGGGTCGGCACCGTTGTCCACGCCGGCAGCAGCCGACCACGGCGACGTGGAGTCTCTGCCGGTGGGTTGTCCTCGTGCAACATGGCGGGTGGCGGAGACGCGTTAAGGTTGAGAGCAGGGCTTGCGCGCTCCATCCGCGCGACGATTATCGGGTTACGAATGTCAAACAGTGCGCACAGGTCCCGCGGCGTGATGCATGTCGCGCGCGCATAGTCAATGAGCATTTCGCACGCGGCCCGAGCGGTGCGACGTGCTTCGCGCGTCGCAGGGTTGCTGTCGTCGTAGACCACATGCATCGACGCAGGCGCCTCCCACATCTCCGCCATCGGCTCCGATCGCGGCTCGATCGCCAACGGATCCTCACCGGGCTCGGCGCACGTCGGCTGGTTGTCATCGATGCCGACAAACTCCCCAGCGGGCATCGCGCTTGGCCCGAGTCCGAGTCGGGCAATCAGGCTACCCACGTCGTTGACGTCATCGTCCAGCCCGATGTCTCCTCCGGCAGTGGGGCCGCTGCCAGCTCCTGGCTCCATGTGCGGGAGTTCCATCGCCCATGCGCGCGGGAGACAACCGGTGCGCCACCAGCAACGCTGGATGGTGCTACGCGGGATATTCATCCACGCGTCATGGAACCACTCCAGCACTAGACGGAGGTTCGGCTTGAACCTAGCTGCCGCAGAGGTGGCGCCTTCGGCAGTCCACATGCCCGCGGAGCCAATGCTGGCGGTACCGCGCCTTCGCCATGGCAATGAGCCCCTGGTCAAGGGGCTGAATGAAGCATGTGGTGTTAGGAGGCATGAACACCAGGCGCACGTTCTTGAGCGCACGCGTACGGAACCCGAAGAGATCTTCGGTCACGGCGCCCGCGGTTGTCAGATTGTGGCTGCTGGCGTTGTCGAGTAGGACAACAATGTTGCGGTCCTCTGCGTTCATAGCAGCGTCTGTCAGAATATTATCTTATTGTTCTAGCCTGTAGTGGGGTGCTCTATAGCGAGTACAACCCTTCTAGGGTTTGCTATTTGTATCCTCATTCTTGCTAGTTCAATCCTCTTTCTTTCTTCTAACTTTTTATCATGCTATCAGAGCAGGTCGATCCCCTTGGATCGATCCTGTGGGTGGGCTTACCACCGCTTAGCTTCCGCTGCTACTACTGCTACTACTCTCTGAGCCGCTCGCCCCGTGGCATGCGGCATTTTTTCTTCCCGCCGTGCGCCCCGAGGCGCGCGGCGGTTGCGCGCGGCGGTTCTCTGCCCGCTGTGCGCCCCGAGGCGCGCGGCGGGCTTCCGCCCCGTCGACCCACGCGTCGCCCTCGGGAGGCGCTGCGACGGGCGACGGGGACCCGTCGCGGCCCCGCCCTATGTCGCGGCCCCGCCCTACGTCGCAGCCCCGCCCCTCGAAGCGGCCCCGCCCTACGTCGCGGCCCCGCCCCGACCGTCGCGGCCCCGCCCCTTGTCGCGGCCCCGCCCTACGTCGCGGCCCCGCCCTATGTCGCGGCCCCGCCCCTCGAAGCGGCCCCGCCCTACGTCGCGGCCCCGCCCCGCTCGTCGCGGCCCCGCCCCTTGTCGCGGCCCCGCCCTCCAACCAGGCTCGTGGTGGGCCCCTTTCACCACACCGCCTCCCCCCCCCCCCTGCCATTTCCCGTCGTCCGTCGTGGCGACCTGAGGGGGCCGCAAGCTGTGGGGTGGCGGGTATGGGGGTGGCCGGTGTGCCTTCCTCCCTTTCTCCTCCTCCTCCTTCGTCTCCCACTGCTGCAGCTGTCGCTGAGGGGGGTGGTTGTGTGGGAGACTGGGTTTAGGGTTTAAGGGGGGTGCGTGGGAGTGGAGCTAGCGGTGTAGCAGTGGGTGTGTATCAGGGGGGTGGGACTGTGTGCGGGAGGTTGAGCGGAGGTTGCCAGTTTGTCGTCCGCAGCACCTGTAGTCCGGGGCGCTGTCCCGGTAGCCCAGTGAGCTTGTCGCTGAGCCGGTCGCCTGTGGGTCCGTTGCCTGTCTGCCGCTACTTGAGCCGCGGGGCCTGTTACTCCCGTAGTCCGGGGCGCTGTCCCGGTAGCCACTGTGCTCGCCACTCCTGTTGCCCGTGTGTATGCAGCTTCAGCCGCCGCCTTCTATCTCCTCTCCTCTCACTCTCCCTCCTCCTCCTCACTTGCCCGTTGTGACCACTGCTAGCTTTGCTCATAATTGTTAACTTTGAACTATTTCTTCTTGACCTTGTGCTCAGAATGCGTGGTGACATTGTGATCCACCCTGAGCTTGTACTGTTTTGCCTGCTCTGCTGATTACACCCCACTTTGGCTATGGGGGTGTGTCAGAATATTATCTTATTGTTCTAGCCTGTAGTGGGGTGCTCTATAGCGAGTACAACCCTTCTAGGGTTTGCTATTTGTATCCTCATTCTTGCTAGTTCAATCCTCTTTCTTTCTTCTAACTTTTGTCAGCGTCGAGTTGTTCGATGTAGTGCGTGAATAGCTGCCAAGGAAGCAGATGGGTTGATACAGAAGATAAGGGTGAGAGGGGTGAGTTACAGGGCCGGTAATGTGGTATCTTTGGCGGGGGTAGTGAAAGCCACTTCCGCCGTCCTTATGGCAGCAACGCAAGCTGAACGTTTCAAACACAGTGGCAACACAACGGAAGCACTCATACTCACCGAGGAAGTCATCCAACCTTTGGCGGTGTTGCGCCAGTAGCACAACTCCTCTGGATTATAGTCGGGCCGGAAATCGTGGGGCCGTTTCGCCTTGGAGATGACGAGCGGGCGGAAGGCGTGCGAGCCCTCCGCGTTCACCAGGAATCCGACCGCGAGCCGTTCCTTCGGCGCCTTCCGCCCCGCCGACCTGCCAGTGCCGTATGTTTTGCGCGGCAGAACGGAGATAAAAAGCGCCGTCTCGTCGAAGTTGAACGTATCACGCGGGCGTACGCCGAGTTGCATGAGAAGCTGCGGGAGCTTCTCCCGAGCGGTGCGAACGGCGTTCATGTCTTGGTCTGCCGCTTCGCCGACAGCGCTCATGCACCTTACTCCCTGGCGGCGCAAAGCACGCCGCACCCATCCAATAGAGCAGCGAAATGTCGCTGGCACACCATTCGCACGTGCCATGGTAGCGACATGGTCGCGGATTGTGGCCAATGTCAGCGGAACGCCAGCGGGACCCGCATTGGCAATCCAACGTGCCATTGCGCGCTCCAGGTCCGGGTACGCGCCGCCACGCACACGAATAGCGTCAACAGCGTCGTCCGGGATGCGCCATCGTTCGGCGCCCTTCAACACGCGGCCGATGGTGGATCGGTCGGGGCGTACCCCAAAGCGCGTGAAACACCAACGCGCGAGATCCACATGGCGGAGCAGCGGGTGAGCAACATGGTGGGCGCAGATGGCCTTTTTGATGTGCAGCGCAAGCTGAGAGCGGTGATAGAGACGAGGCATTGTGTGACAGTGAGGGTGGAAGTGAAATTGAGTTAGTGAAGAGTGACAGGAGGATTTATGTCAATTCGAAGCAGTATGCGCGGCGTGGAAGGAGTGCAAGATGGTGCTCCTCGTGAGTGCATTTGGATTGATGTTTAATGGTTGTGCTACCATGTAACCAAACCATAAAGGGTGACGTGTGCTGCTCACAGACTGAACGGCTCACAGAGGGCGTGTATCGAGCAAGGGCAAGGTACAGGTGGCGTTGTGCAGAAATCCACAGACTGTTATATGCACGCAGTAACGTCCAACGTGGCATGACGTAACATGCCTTAACCACGGCGATGTTTTCGGAGTTTCGTCCAGACATTTCGTGGACTCTGTTTCTGGCCTACAAAACGAGGGCTACCCAGGTCGGCGGCTGTTGTTTGTATCGACGTTCGCAGTTTTGGGCGCATTCACCAGGTGGGGTCAAGTGGTTTCAGGTGCTTATAAACAGGGTGTGTCAGAACATTATAGCTTATGCTGTTGTGTAGGCTATAGTGGGGTATCCCATAGGGGGTACAACCCAATTAGGGTTTCCTATATGTACTCACTTCATTCATAGTTGATGCATTCTCGTTCTCATTTTCACATGGAATCAGAGCAGGTCCCCTCCTAGGGACTGTTCCTTGGGCCCACCGAAGCGCGCCTTGAGTCGCGCCTGCCTTTTTTTTAGCGGCCCGTCGAGTCGCACCTAGCGGCCCGTCGCGCCGCCTTTACGGTCGCGTCGAGCCGCCCTAGCGGCTGCGGCGCGCCGCCCTTTTCCCGGCCCGTCGCCGCCCTTACCCGCGGCTTTGCGCCGCCCTCACCGGCGGCTTCGCGCCGCCCCTACCTGCGGCTTCGCGCCGCCCAGGCCCGTCGCCGCCCTTCCCGCGGCTTCGCGCCGCCTCTACCTGCGGCTTCGAGCTGCCCCGGCCAGTCGCCGCCCTTACCTGCGGCTTCGCGCCGCCCCGGCCCGTCGCCGCCCTTAACCGCGGCTTCGCGCCGCCCTTGCACCGGCTCGTCGCCGCCCTCACCTACGGCCCGTCGCCGCTCTACCTACGGCCCGTCGCCGCCCTTACCTACGGCCCGTCGCCGCCCTTACCTACGGCCCGCCGCCGACCTACCTGCGGCCCTACCCGCCGCCCTACCTGCGGCCACCCGCCGACCTACCTGCGGCGCACCCGCCGACCTCCCTGCGGCGCACCCGCCGCCCTACCTGCGGCCACCCGCCGCCCTAACTGCGGCTCACCCGCCGCCATACCTGCGGCCCACCCGCCGCTCTACCTGCGGCCCCACCCGCTGCCCTACCTGCGGCCCCACCCGCCGCCCTACCTGCGGCGCACCTGCAGCCCTACCTGCGGCTCACCCGCCGCCCTACCTACGACAGCCGCGCCGCCCTGAACCAGCGCCGCCGCGCCGCCCTGCACGAGAGACGCCCTGCAGCCGAGCCGCCCGGGAGCCGAGCCGCCCTACAGCCGAGCCCCCCGGAAGCCAAGCCGCCCTGCCGCCGAGCCGCGCGGAAGCCGAGCCGCCTTGCCGCCGAGCCGCCTTGCCACCGAGCCGCCCAGCAGCTGGACCGTCAGAGCTGCCCTGTCTGGTGAGCACATTGCCTTCTCCCCCTGCACAGCCCTCCCTCCCCTACTGTTTACACTGCTCGTCACCTGTCGTCATGGCTACCCCTAGTGTCCTCACGTTTGACGTTGAGGGACGAGCCGTAGACTTTGAGGTCTGGGTCGACGACCTGCAGCTGTTCTTACAGTGCGATAGGGCAGACGGCCTCTCTCTCTTTGACCTTACCTCTGGCGCTTCCCCTGCCCCTGCTGCTAATGCTGACGCCACTGTTCGCTCTCAGTGGGCCACGCGCGACGCTGCTGCACGTCTTGCTGTGCGTCGCCACCTCCCTACCTCCGAGCGTGCGCACTTTAGCCAGTACAAGAGTGCTCAGACCTTGTACAACGCTGTAGTCGCGCGCTACTCCTCCCCTGCCACTGCTGCACTGAGCCGTCTCATGCTGCCATACTAGACCTGACCTTGCTGCTTTTCCCACCGTAGCTGAACTCATCACGCACCTCCGCACTAGTGACACTCGCTACCGCGCTGCACTCCCTGCTGACTTCTGCGCCAAGAACCCCCCCCCCCATGTACATCACTCTGTACTTCCTAGTCACTCGCCTCCCTAACTCCCTTCGCATAGTCAGGGACCACTTTCTCTCAGTCTGTCCCACCACGCTCACCGTAGACCTCCTCGAAAAGGCCCTCCTAGCGATAGAGAAGAGCATCGTTGCTG